CATCAATTCTCTTTCTGTCATCCCTAGTCACTGTCCAATTCTCCAATGCATAGCACGTAATTGCAAAGACTATAGCCTGGATTAGACACACCTTAGTCTCAGCCTGATGTTGTTGCTCTTCAGTACTATTGAGAGGTCCGTTACAGCTGACTTTCCCAATGCAGTTCATCTCTTGATTTTCTGGCTGCTGGTGCCAAGAATGTTGGCTGTGGAATCAAGTAAACTAAAACTATTAACTATCTCAATCTCTTCACCATCCATCCTGATGCTGCCAATTGGCCCAGTGGTGAGAATCTTTGTTTTCTTGATGTTGAGCCTCAATCCATATTGAAGGCTGCAGTCCTTGACCTTCTGCAGCAAGTGCTTCAGGTCCTCTTCAGTTTCAGCAAGCAGGGTTGTGTCATCTGCATAACATAGGTTGTTGATGACTCTTCCACCAATCCTGATGCCACATTCCTCCTCGTACAGCCCAGTGTCTCAGATGATCTGTTCTGCATACAGATTGAAAAGATATGAATACAAAATACATCCCTGATGGACCCCCTTCTTGATTTTGAACCATGTAGTGTCTCCTTACTCTGTTCTGATGACTGCCTCTTGGTCCTAGTATAGATTTTGAATTAGCACAAGCAAATGTTCTGGGATTCTCATTCTTTTTTTTTAAATTAAATTTTATTAATTTTAATGAACATTTACAGATATTTTAGATTTCCATTCATTCATTGTTGCACTATTTTCTCTACCAACCCCCAGTTCATTCCTCTTTTTTTCCCCCTTGAAAGTCTATTTTAATTGTCCCATTGCCACAGTGCTTGTCAAAGCCAGTTCTGATTAATCTCCTTTGTCAGTGTATCCTTTGTCATTCCCTATCACTACTCCCTGAGAGAGACTTCACTCTGATTCATAAGGAAAAGGGGACAGCATATTGTCTTAGCTACTTCCTGCTGAAAAGGGATGCTGTAGGTTTCAGGGTGAAGATCTTCTCTCACTACTCTAAAGGGCCCCTTTGGCAATGGGAAACATGTAGACTACTGTGGAGATTGATTTTGGAATTTAGATGCACTGTTATCAATTGTGCTTAGCCATATATGTTCATATCCTTGAAGATGTATCATGGAACTGTTGCAGCCTAGAAGACACAAATTTAACTAGCAAGTTAAAAGTACATGAGTCATGGTACAACCACTCTGGAAGACAGTTTGGCATTTCTTTAGAAAGCTGAACATACCAATTCCATATGACCCAGGTATTCCACTGCTTGGAATATACGCTGAGAAAATGAGAACCGAGGCACAAAGCACAAATGGAGACTTGTACACCAGTGTTCATAGCAGCGTCATTCACCATCTCAAGAACATGGAAACAGGCCAAATATGAAACCACCTATCGAGGTGATTGAGAAATTATGGTACATTCACATGATGGAATACTGCGCAGCACACAAGAGCAATGATTTTGAAAGTCACAGCATAACTTGAGAGGGACTGGAGAGCATTATGCTAAGTGAACTAACTCAGTCACATAAATACAAATACTGTATGAGACCATAATTGTAGAAATAGGAAGATAAATCGTAAAATGTGTATGAGGATCCAAGGGGGTGAGCATTGGAGCTGAGGGGTGAGGCTGGGCAGGGTGATAATCATAAGGTCTTCCAATTTGATGGGTAAAGGGAGGGGTGGGTAAAAGAAATGGGAATGATCTGTTGTGAAAAACAATGTATACAAATTTTGTAAGTAAACCAGTATACAATAAAAATGTTATTTAAAAAAGAAAAAAAAAGTACATGAGTCAAAAATTAAAAGCAATAATATTCCAAGTAGAGGTTCTAACAGTGGCACAAATCAAGTTACAGAGGGAAGGTAGTTCTTAAAATAAAAGGCCTATTGACAAGCACTTAGTCTATTATAGTATAAAGGTTAGGAACCACAAGATGTAGAGGCTTAACTATGTCATTTATTGTTCTTAAGTCCTGGACCAAATTACATCTACCACTGGGTTGTTTTACAGCTCGGAAGTCCGCATGCAAGGCAGAGGTGAAGTAAGGAACTGCTTATGAGGTTTTCCATCGATTCCAACAACTAAGAAATAGTGAGAAAGAGTTGGGGCCTCAGAAGGCTTTTAGTAGGCTCTGTGTCCAGGAGAAAATGAATATACTTACCAGTAATGTTAATGCTCACCCACAGCTCTTCTGGGAGGATCTAAATCGTTGAAGCGTCCTCCTTTGTTTCCAGCTGGGAGCTGGGGCCTGTCAGTCCTGTCAGCCTCGAGGACCTGATGTGGGCCGCCCTTGGCCATGTGTCCTTCAAATCCACACTTAAGAGATTCTCATTCTTCTTAGAGCTTGTTGTGATCCACACAGTCAAAAGTCTTTGTATAGTCAATGAAGCACAGATACACATTCTTCTGGTATTCTCTGCTTTCTACCAAGATCCATCTAACATTAGCTATAATATCCCCAGTACCACAACCTCTTCTAAATCCAGCCTGCACATCTGGCAGTTCTCTGTTGACATGTTGTTCTAAACATTTTTGGATAATTTTCAACATGCTCTTGCTTGCATGTGATATTAATATTGTTTGGTAATTTCCACACTCTCTTGGGTCCCCTTTCTTTGTAATGGGAACAAATATCTATCTTTTCCAGTCAGTTGGCCAGTTGGCAGTCCTCCAGATTTCTTGGCACAACTTAGCGAGCACATCCAGGGCAGTGTCTGTTTATCTTCCCTTATTTCCCTAGCAAGTACTATACAATATTGAATTGGAATGGCGACAGTGGACATACTTGTCTGGTCCCTGTTCACATGGAGAATGCTTTTAGTCTTTCTCCATTTAGAATGATACTGGCTCTTGGTTTTGTGTACATACTTTTCACAATATTGAGGAAATTCTCTTGTATTCCTATTCTACTGAATGTTTTGATGAGGAGAGGACATTGGATTTCATCAAAGGCCTTTTCTGCATCATTTGCTAGGATCATGTGTTTCTTATTATTTATTAATGTGATGAATTACATTGATTGTTTTTCCTGTGTTGAACCACCCTTACATACTTGTCATGATCCCACTTGGTCTTGATGAGTTTTGTTGTTTTTTTTTATGTACTTTTGGATTCAACTGGCCAGGATTTTTGCATCTATAGTAATAAGAAAACTTTTTCTGTAGTTTCCTTTTTGGTACTGTCTTTGCCTGGTTTGAGTATTAGGGTTATGCTTGCTTTGTAAAATGGCTTTGGGAGTGTTCCCTCTTTTTCTATTTTTTTTTAAATAATTTAAGTAGAATTGGTGATAAATCTTCTCTGAAGTTTGGTAGAATTCAGCCATGAAGCCATCTGGTCCAGGACTTTTATTGTGAGGAAGTCTTTTTATGACCTGCTCAATTTCACCTTTTGTGATGGGGCTGTTCAAGTGTTCAACATATGTTCATGTCGTTCTAGGTAGGGCATGAGTTTCAAGGAATTTGTCCATTTTCTCTGGGTTTTCAAATTTTTAAAACTTATTTATTATTTTTCATAATGTTCCGATATTACAGATTTAATTTCATCTGATTTTGTTGTCATCTGTATCATTAATTAATTGAGTTCTGTGTGTCTTCTCTTTTCTTTCTTTTGTTAATCTTGCCAGTGTTTTATAAATTTTTTTGATCCTTTAGAAAAACCAGCTCTTGGTCTTGTTGATGATTTCAGTTTTCCATCTCATTATAATTTCCTTTCTTTTAGATATATTGTGGCTTTTTGGTTAGTTTCTTTTTTTATACATTGTGTTTTATACAATCATTCATAGATACAGTATTTTATAAAATTGATTACTAGTGATCTATGGTGGCCTAGTGGTAAGGAGCTGTGCTGCAGTTATAAAGGAATGAAGTTCAAATCCACCAGCTTCTCTGTGGGGGAAAGATGGACAATCTCCTCCCTTGCAATTAAACTGCCTCAAAACCCACTGGAGAGTCAGCTATGAGTTGATTCCAACTGGACAGTACACAATACATGACATGCCTATTACTAACTCATCTTTTTGAGTCCCCATTAAATCTTTCCTATTCCTTCACCCTTTCATCTGCCCACTAACCTCTGCTAGCCTTGTGATTTCTCCCCTTTCCCATTTCCCATCTTTTCCCTTGTTTTTTTTTTAACATATTTTTATTGGTTTCATACAATATAATAATTGTATTTACATACAACAATCAGTATGAATGTGCACGCATCTGTGTCAGTTGTGGCTCTGGGTTCTTTAGGATATATTTCCAGTAGTGGAATTGCTAGGTCAAATGGTATTTCTATTTCCAACTTTTTTTTTAGTGCATTGTCAGAGATGTTGAGGATAGTACAGGATAGGCTAAGGTTCAACTCAGTGGCACATAATAATAACAATAACAATAACAACAACACATACATATATAGTAGATTATTGGAATAGTTTCGTTTCTTCTCTTTTTTGATTAGCTGATGAGAGCAGTCCATTTGACCACTAAAGATTTTCAAACCTGGATAAGAACATGAATCTTTCTCAAAACAGCTAAAACCCTTATAGCAGTTAATTTGAATTTGAGTTTAGTCAGAACCTATTTGTTATAACTGGTTCAGATGATTTCTAAAGCTCCCTCATCACCACGAGGCTTTGAAATGTTGTTAAAAAAACCCACAACCTCTGATTTCTCTCAGATTTTTGTTGTGCTTATTCACAAAACTTTTCTTTCTCCCTAAAAGGAACATGTTTCTTTTTGGTTGAAAGTGCATACTTGCATCAGTTTGTGGATGTGCTGATGCAGCTACTGCTTTTGCTTTTTGTGATCACTATTTAAACACATTGTTTCAGTGATTGTGGTGTTACTTAAGCTGGATTGGAAATAAAGAATTCAAGACCAGAATATTTAGGTAGCCAGTTAAGCAGCAGAGCCTGTTCCTAAAGCTTAGTCTTCTGGTTCAGACTGATTCAGAGCTTCAAATCTTACTCGGCGTTGCTCTATAGTACTAACAATTCTCTGATCTTATTCTTTTAGAGTGACGATGACAGTCCGCTTTCATACCATGGTGTGGCTTATGTTAATATGGTACCATTGCTGTATCCAGGTGTAAATAGGATTCGAGGAGCTTTTCACGTTTACCCTTATCTAGATAGTACAGTTTATGAGAAGGTAAGAAAAAATAAATTCATAGACATTGTAATTCCAGTTTATTGTTTTAGCATTTTACATTTGTGCACTCCATTTTTGAAAACAGTTGGTATGTTAAAATGTTAAATATAGAATGTTGCAGCTTTATTAAAATGAAACCTTAGAAACTTGAAGGTAATGAAACGGCATAAACTAGAAGTAACACAAACTCTTTGACAGCTGGACAAGAAAACAAATTGAGTTGGCATATCTATTTAGTGAATTCTTGCTCAATGATTAAAAAGAATTAACTATTGCTATACATGTAACAATCTGTAGTGATAGAACTCAAATCAGTGGTTGCTTGAGGACAGAAGTAGAAGGGGAAATTGGAAAACAAGGTGAGGAAAATATTAGATGTGGTAGAAATGTTCTTTGTCCTAAATGTGAGATGGCTTCACAGGTGTGTACATATGTTAAATTTATCAATTTCTATAGTTATGTTTTTTCATCAATTTCTATAGTTTAAATAATGCATTGTTTATTTCCTTTTTACCTCAATAAAGTTAGAAAAATACTCTGAAGGACAGTGAAAAAAGTTGGTTATGTTAAATATGTGAAACCATAAATCGTGCTGATTAATAAGTTAGGATATAGATTGTCCATTTTCATGTGTGAAAATACTGTACATTTTTTGAACAAAAAAAGCCAATTTTACTGTTTTAAGTTTTATAAGAAAATGAAACTTTGTAAAATACAGTAACAATTGAGTAGTAATTTTCCATATCAATATCAGTACACTTTGAACCATAAATATCACTTAATAGAGATTGGTCCAATGAAATAATTTAATAGGATCGAAATCTGTCATACTGAGGAAAGTGGAAGGGTCATAGAAAGAGAGGAAGACCCTCAAAACTATGGTTTGAGACAGTGAATATAACAATGAGCTTGAGTATGTCAGAGAGCATGAAGATGGGGCAGGATAAGACCAGGTTCATCACTGTTGTTCATATGGTCACTGTGAGATGGTCAGAGTCGGCTTGATGGCACCCAACAACAACAATATTGATAAAATTTTAAAAATACGTTTTAAACATAGATAAATGTACTGAGTAAATAAAAAAATTATAGAGTATCTATCAAGAATGATTGTTAAGTAATGGTTTGTAGCTAGAACATGAACCAGGGGACTAAAAGAATACAAATGTGTTGTTAGGTATTTTGTTGTTAAGTCCTGTTGAGGTGACTATGCATCATAGGGACACTACACACAACCAGTCTGAACCTTGCCCTATTCTGTGCCATCCTCACCAATTCTGAAAGACAAGCCCATTGTTACAGTCCCTGTGTCAATATGTCTTGTTAAGGGTCTTCCTCTTTTTCTCTGACACTCCACCTTTCCCAGTATGCCATCTTTTCACCAGAACAGGCCCTGACAACATGGCCAAGTATGTGAGACAGAGTTTTACCATCCTTTTCTCTAAGGAGCACCCTGGTTTCACTTCATTTAAGAAAGACGTGTCAGCCTAGGAGATATTCAATACTCTAATACTACAATTCAAGAACATTAACTTATGTTTTATTGACTGTGCAAAAGCCTATTATTATGGTACCTGCTTATCAAAGAGGGTAATAGTATCTGGGGTCTTAAAGGCTTATCCTACAACAAGCAACTATTTAAATGACCATTGCTCAGTCTGTGTAGAAGTCAGTACATCAGCCTGAGTGTGGTCAAAGGACTTGAAAAGATTTGGTCAGGAAGAAGGCTATGTATGAGAGTCTAAAATCAGAGGCACATGGTCTGTGTAGAATAAGGCAGGCTGAAACTGGAGTCTTAATTTCCCTTTAATGATTTGATAAGAGTCTAGAAACCATGTTGGATATTTTTTAATTGATATTTTAATGAAAGCTTACAGAAAACTTGGATTTCCATTCATTCCTTGTTGCACATTTTCCTCCCTACCCTCATCACACCAGTTTGCTCTTCTTGTTAAAAAGATTCTTTCATTGTTGCCATGTTGGATTTAAAAAAAAATTATTATTAATTTTAATGAAAATTTACAGAGACTTTGGATTTCCATTCATTCATTGTTGCACTTTTCTCCCCTCCCAGCCCTTCCCCCAGTACACTACCCTCTTGGAAAAGTAAAAGAAAAATTCTTTCATTGTTTTACAGTCCCTCCCCCCAGGTCCTTGGAAGGAGGAGTGGCATTCACTTCCATAATAGCTTGTCTCTGGAAACCCTATGAACCTGGAGAGAGGATGAAAGACACCCAAGCATCGAGGACTCTCCTTCATAGGGTTGCTATGAGTCACCTGCAACTCAACAGCACTTAACAACTTAACAACAACAATCCCCCAGGTCCACTCCACTATGCAGTCTTCGCTCTGGACTCCTGTCATGAGAAAAAATACCTAATCACGTATCCCTCTTAAACAGTTTTCTCCCTCATCTGTTTCAGTGTGGTATACATTATTAAACCCATCTTTCTCAGTCTCCTCCCAGCCCCGGGGTCAGTCCTGTTTTACAACAGTGGCACCATGCGGTATTTGTCCTTCTGTGACCAAGATATTTCACTCAGCATAATGTCCTCCAGGGTCACCCATTTTGAATAATATTGCATGAATTCCTTGTTTTTCAGTGCAGTGTAGCATTCCATTGTATGAATATACCACAACTTCTCTATCCATTCATTTGTTGATGGGCACTTAGGTTGCTTCCAACTCCTTGCTATTGTGAACAAAGCCGTGATATACATGGGTGTGCATATATCTGCTTGGATGTCAGTTATGGTCTCTTTGGGGTATATTCCCAGTAGTGGAATTCCTGGGTCAAATGGTATCTCTATTTGCAACTTTTTGAGAAAGTGCCATACCGCCTTCCACAGTGGTTGCACCATTTTACACTCCCAACAACAGTGAATAAGGGTTCCAGTTTCTCGACAACCTCGCCAGCATTTGTTGCTTGCTGTTCTGTTAAATTTTGCTATTCTGACTAGGGTGAGATGATGTCTCGTAGTTGTTTGCCATGTTGGATTTTTAAAAGTTGTCTTTCCAAATGGAAGTCTCTTTAACTCTGGTGCTGACCTGGGCCATGTACTTCAATAACAACAATCCTTTTCTTTGAACTCTCCTGTCTGCAGGGATATTTTATCTCAAAGATCTTTCCCTCCCCCCACCCCCACAGGATGAGAAGGGAGGGTCTTGAGATATAGCTTTATCTTAAAGTTTACAATGGACCTCTAGAAACAGGCATGACTGAGGAAGAACAAATTACTAGAAAAAGTGGTCCTGTCTGCTCTTCTGGGATCACAGTGTGATAATAGATGGAATAGCATGTTGGTTTAACCAATCAAGTAATCTCACTTTTGTGCTATGGGGCTTATTACTGTCAAATTCTCATGTTGAGCTGTCTTGCTTTAAGCTTCCCTGATGACACTTTAGCCGGGTAGGAACTTAACAAGCTTTGGTTCATGATCCAACAGTGTAAGAATGTCTCCTGTTTGTGGTCCTGCAGGGTATATTTTCACCCCATGAAAACAGACCTTAGACAAATAGTGCATAGGTCCACTGTTGTAAAACAGGACTGACATCAGGGTTGGGTGAACCTGAGAAAGATGGGATAAATTATGTATACTGCATTGAAACAGATGAGGGAGAGAATTGTTTAAAAGGGTTATATGATTACGTATTATTGTCGTGAGTGGAGTCCAGAACAAAGGCTGCCTAGTGGAATGGACTTGGAGGGAGAGATTGTATAACAATGAAAGAATTTACTTTTCAAAGAGAAGAGCAACCGGGGGGGGAGGGTGGGCAGGGAGAAAAACGCGACAATGAAGAATGGAAATCCAGTCTCGGTAAATTTTCATTAAAATTAATAATAATAAAAAAGGAAAAATATTTACAGCTTCAGAAACATGGTATAGGACTGGCATAAGTTAGAATCAATTCAATAACTGGGGTGGTTTATTTTTTTTTTAGTCAAGTTGTAGAAAAATTGTGCAGTTTATTTTACTGGATACATTTAAAACTTTTTTTTAGAAAGCTAACAATAAGCTATCTTATGCCTTTCGTAAACATCTTAGGAAATTTTGCTTAATTACTTGTATAATCTTTCTGCTAGTTAACTACTATTGAATCTCCATGAATTTCTTGTTACCTCAGTACTAGCTTAGAGGAGTAACGAATGGAGTTACAGGATGGCAGGGTATGCAAATTCTATTCATTAGTAAAAATCTAATAGTGAGATAGACAAGTGCTATCTTTACATTCAAAGAGAAGTTTACTGTCAGAAATCAAGGCCAAAAAGAAATATCATTAGAGAAAGGCACTTTTTGGTCATATTACATGTGTGATACTTATATTAAATAAGTGAGAGGAGTGGACTACTGATACAAAGATGCAGGACAGTGTATTTTTGGTTTTGTTTATAGTAACAGTTCTTCGTATCATCACATCCCAATTTAACACCTAGAGATGTTAAAAGGGGGAAAATTAGCATCTTGGAATCGATGAAATATAGCAAGTATACTACAGCTGGTAGAATTACAGGTGATTTTTGAAGAGTACAGGTTTTACATTTTGTCGGGTATCTGTGCACCTTTAAGGTTATCACAGTTAAGACACCAAGATGTCCATCGTCCCTAGAAGGTTTCTGGTGCCCTTGTTTTGCAATTCCTCCCTCCTACTTTATTCACTCCTTCTTTCTTTCTTGCCAGGCTTCATTCATCTGCATAATTACTTTTATATTTTTAATCTATGTTGTTTGGTTAAACACCATTCCAAGGTTCTCCGCAAGTGAAATACATAGTTTTAAATTTTTCCATACTGTTTCCACTTTAAACATTAAACTTATCTTACTTGTCCAGCTGTAACTGATATGCCAATAATTAAACAGATAATATATTTTGTAAAGAAATTCATTTCACCACTTGAAATTAATTTGAAATCATTTGTCAAAGATTAGAAGCTTTCTGGTGACCAAACTTAGACATCAGAATCAAACCAAGTTCAAAGGTCTCTTCTTTATAATAGAATTATATAAGTTATTTAAATTTTTTTAAAAAATAAGTAATAGAATAGGCAGGTAGCTTTCTGTGGTGATTTTATGTATTTTAGAAATAAGGATATGCAGTTAATTATTTCTGATCTCTTTGAGTCTGCAATGTTGTAATTATTTGGAAGATTAAATGATGCTAAAGAATAAGGTAGTTTTTGGGGGGTTTTTTTGGTGTTTGCCTCCTTTGTCTGTGACTTGTCCTTTCCCCTTACCCTAGACCAAATGTTTATTCAGCTTGTTTCGGGATACTGGTCATCATTTGACCCAGAATAATAAAACAGGAGGAATTATTTCTCCACAATCCAAGTCTATTCTTTCTAAGAACCTGAAAGAAGATAAAACAATCAAAGAAAAAGATGTGGTAAGGAAGGGCAAGGACTGGGGGGTGCGGTGGGTTGTTGGAAAAGCCATGTTTTTTTCTGTTGTTTTATTGTAGTTCAGAAACTTGGACTGAATTTTTGTTGATATATGTTTTGATCACTGTATTGGATCATTGTGAATTATTTACTGCCTTTTTGTGACTTAAAAAAAAAAGTACAATATCAGTTTGTGAAGTGTCTTCATTTTCTTGCAGGAAGCACCTAGCATAAAATCTAAGAGTTCAGATACTCCTTTGGAAGCTGAACTATCTCTCAACCACAATCCAGAGGGACAGGTAAACTACTGATACAAAGTTGGACACGGACATTGGTCAGGGCAGGAGATCTGCAATACTATCCACAATACCATACATATGACTAGTTTATTACTTGGTGAACAGTCTCCCTGAAACTCTGTAAAATGATTAATATCTTGGCCAGCACTAACACTTTTCTTTTACTAATTCTATTATGTTAAGCATTATAAGGGATGCAAATGTGCATGATCCACAGAACTTATTCATCTACCTCCTGGTCTCTTAGGAAAACCAGGCAGGCTTTACTAACCGCAGCACAGAATTTCAATGAGTCCTAGAATAAAGATACAAGCAAAGTTATTTGTGGGCTCAGAGGAGACAAGTATCAATATCTACTAGGATGGGGCCGTTTCCTGGATATGCTCATGAGGAAGTGGTATCCAAGCTAAACAGGAAAAAATGAGAGAACTTTTTGCCAAATGAGGATGGGGGAAATGAAGATAGGGGATGGAACAGCTTGAGTTAAGCCATCAGAGAGAGGGGAATTTAGGGCACATAATTAATTTGCTATGTTTCTGCAGCTGTTGTTAGTTGTCATCAAGTGACTTCTGACCTGGTGTAACCCATGTGTATTGAGAAGAACTTCCCCATAGGGTTTTCAAGGCGATGACAGTTCTGAAAAAAAGAACCAGCCTTGTATTCCAAGGCATCTCTGAATGGGTTTGGACTGCCAGCTTTGCAAGGGGTAGTAGAGCACTTAAACCTTCTGTATCACCCAGGACCTCTTAATTCAACAAAGGACAATGAAAAGAAAGGAGAAATTCTAAGAGGTAAGAAAGAAGAAAAACTGATTTCAGGTTTTACATCTCTCTCTTTCTGGAATGAAAGAGATGAAAATGAAGTGAGAAAAGTCAAGGAGATATTTTCTACATGTATGTTTGTATAGGCTGCAGGTATAATCACATTAGTGACACAGTTATAGAAACATCTTGCAGAACTGAGCTCCAGGACTTGAAAGTTAAGGACTATAGTCTCTCATGAGAATCCAGAACAACTGTCATGATGTGTTCATAAAGATTATGTTCTACATCCTGGTTTGGTGCATACCATCCCTGGAAGGAGTGCCTGCAATACAAAGATCCCACAGTGTTAGATTGGTGCTGGATTCACCACTCAAACATGGGTAAGGGTCACATGCAAGGGGGCAAGAGAAACCAGTTCACTAGCCTGCAATCACTCTCACACTCAGGAAACATCGCAAACAGGAACCTATGAATCCGTCTTCACACCAGTTCATTCTCCATTCCTGGTTAGCTTACTTCCCAAGGGAGGCTAAGGGCAGAATAGAAGGTTCCTGCAGGAACCAGAAAGGGGCTGACAGGAAATGGAGCACAGCTAATGGAACAGCCAGAGTGGGAAAGAGGCCACAGGACATGATGCCAGCTCCAGAAAGCAGAGCCCCTCTTCTGGGCTGCACCCACTGGGAGAGCAGGCATCTCCACCCTGGAAGGTTCCTCCCTGGAGCACAGTGGTGAACATGACAGAACTGAGGTTTGGACAACAGCTGTCTGCAGCTAACCCCACTGCTTCCTAGAATAATGTCTGATGTTGGAACAAAAAAACTGAGATACCATGAACTATGAGATTCTGGAAGCTGATGGGTTTCCAAGGTTTCTAACTCAGGATGTCCTTGCTGGTCTACCTGCCCTACTCAACTTACTCAGGAGAGGACAAAAAAGAAAAACAAACATTTGTTAAAAGAAACCTATTAAAGAAATGACCATCATTTAAAAAAAACACACACAAAAAAACCTTGTAAGCACCTTTCTAAGATAAAACTAGTATTCTCTTCCAATTAAAAGTTAAAGAGAGACAGTCAGGCTTAGCATTTAAGCTAGGAGGTTCTGGCATCACTGGCTCCAAACAGATTCGAACTATAACCAGAATGATTGAGATGGTTTGCAACAACTGTCTGAGGAGGATGGTCAGCGTTAAGTGCAACACTAATGCCACTGCTGGAGATCTTAAGAAGCTGATTGCAGTCCAAATTGGCACCTGTTGGAACAAAATTGTCCTTAAGAAGTTAAAAAAAATAGTATATTATTTTCCAAGAAGTGGTACTTAATTTTCAAGGACCATGTGTGTTTAGGTGACTGTGAAAACCATGATGGGATGGACTTGGGACTTTATTACCAGTAGGGCAGAATTCGTTCCTCTTTTACTCTTCCCTCTTCCCCCACCACTACCCTCACTGACATGGATGCTTGTTTTTAAAAACATTAATAAAAGCTTAGATGCGGTGGCGGCAGGGGTGGGGAGCAGTTAAAGAGAGTGAAGAAAACCAAAGACTTAATGAATTAGTTCTTCCAAAGGACTACTGGCCCACATGAATCTCAGCTTCTCCCAACCTGAGACCAGAAGAACTAGATTGTGTCAGCCTACAACTATCTACATCTCTAACCAGGAACACAATAGGAGGTCCTAGTTAGAATATATAATAAAATTCAGATGAATCAAAAACACCCAACTTACTTGTCTAATAGAGACTGCGGGAACCCCCAAGGCTATTGGCCCTTCTAACTTGGAACTGAAGCCACTCTTGTGGGGTCACCACTCAACTAAATTGATACTGGCTATGAATAAGCAAAAACATTAATGAGGAATGTGCTTTTTAAAACAATTTACTATATAAGAGCACAAGGGCAATGTTTGTGAGGAGGAGGCAGGGGAATCCGAGAAACAGAGAAACTAGGATGGAAATGAGAAGAATGTCAACATGCAGTGGGAGTCATAACCAATGTCAGAACAGTTTTTGTGTGAATTATTGAATTGAAAACTAATTTACTATGTAAACTTTGACCTGTTGTTATTGTTATGTGCCATCAGGGTGCCTGCAACTCATAGTGACCCTATGGTACCGATAGGTAGCTCTGATCCCTGTCCTGTCCTGAGCCAGTCTCACTGATTCTGACACATCTAATTCCATTGCCCCAGTTACCATATCAATCCATCTCTTCTGTAGTTTTCCTCTCCTCTGCTGTCTGTCCCTCCATATTTCCAAGCACATGTCCGTCTCCAAAAACTGGTCCCACCTGGCCACATGCCCAGAGTATGTCATACCGAGCTTCAAAATCCTAGCCTCCAAGGAGAAACTTGGCTTCACCCTCTCCAAGACAGACCTATTGGTTCTCCTAGAAGTCCATGGTATATTCAAGACTCTTCTCCAGCACCACAATTCAAAGACATCAATTCTTCTTCTGTCATCCTTAGGCATTGTCCAGTTCTTTGATGCATAGCAAATAATTGCCAAGACCATGGCCTAGATCAGGCACACCTTAATCTCTAGTCTGATATCATTGTTTCTCAGTACTCTGGAAAGGTTCCTGACAGCAGATTTTCCAAATGCAATTCATCTTTTAATTTCCTAACTGCTAGTGCCAAGAGTGTTGGTTGCAGAGCCAAGCAAGCTGAAATTGTTAACAACCTCAATCTCTTCTTCATCCATCATGGTGGTGCCAATTGTGCTGTTGGTGAGAATCTTTGTTTTCTTTCCTCCTCCTCCTCCCCC